TTTTATTTCTCAGCAACTAAGCAAACAACAGCGTAAAATTTTTTGTATTTGATTAAGACGATCAAATACATTCAAATAAATATTAATTTGTCTAGTGTTATAACATAAAATTTTTTTATGCATATTTTTAAACGTTTGGTTTGCGAAACATAAATTTATCGATTTTTAGTTAGATAATTTCAGGCATAAGCGAACTCAAACTCGTACATATTAATGTGCAACGAAATTTTGCAGGAATGTAGATTAGAAGGTGCGCAAATAATGGCTAAAATTTCATTTTGTTTGGATGGTTTACTGTAGTGTTATGCGCGATTGACGAAAAATTTAAGGGGTGGTCGGAGACTTTTGAGTAGGCACTGTATTACTGAAGGAATAATGTTTTTGATGTTAAAATGTGTTCCAGGAGTTCACCAAATATGGCCTGGTCTATCTATTTTAAATATAGTAGAGCGACTTTCATTGTCCAAATAACATTGGCTGACCATTCTTTTCTTTCAGGGACACCAATTGAGTCAATTGAGCTGTTGTTGTGATAAAAGATGTTTTATTGTTAGAACACATAAACTGAATCCAATTTTATGCAGGTATTTTGCTGAGGTACGAATTTGAATATCAATTTTTTTTTTCATTAATTATATGAATTAGTTGCTTTCTGTTCCTTTGAACAATCTGTTTTAATTCTTGTTGGGCTTTGTGATCTAAAGATCTGGATAACCACTTCTTTACATTGTTTGCACGCCTTTTCCATTACAACAGTTATGAATCATTTGTGTAATTGATGTTTTAGAAAAGCTCAACATCTATCAATTTTGTTCCGAGAAAAACCAGCTTCATGAAAGCCAATAATTGGTAATGTTCAAGGCATTTTGATATCTTGTTGATTTGAGACAAACTTGACATGTGTTTATGTACTGGTCAACTTGAGTTTTTATTTGTAAACAATTGTAATTGACAATTAACAGATGTGATGTGTAAATTAGTCTTCATATTAATGTCTACAAAACGTAGGCTACATCATATAAGAAGTTTGGAATAAATTATTATGTAGTGTATTTGCAAACTAAAATTAAGAGGTCCATTACTTATTTTGGGTGAGTGTATATTAATATCTGAGAGCATGCACTCCGCACAATTTCTGGAGGTTTTTATATTTTTGGAAATGGATTGCCAACCTGACTAATTCCTGCGATTGAATTATAAATTTAGTAAGCAGAGGTTGTTATGTGTCCACTGACCACATGTCTGACTTTTTTCACCATCACTCTTCTGACTAGTTTATCATATAATCTTACATTAGACCAGTTTGCTATATGTACAGTCATTTCCAACCTTGATACTTCCTCAACGTTTCTCAATTCTAAATATTTGATTCACAGTAATAGATATCATAATGGTGTAAATTGCTAGTATAGATAAATCTAAATGTACATTACCACTTGTCCAGTTGGGAGAATATTGAGAATTACAATTTATGCAAAAAATGCTCACCATTGATGGTTTATGACAGGCCAGCCATAATTTCTCATCATAATATCTAATTTTAGGATTAATACCATACGTTTAGGATGAAACCAGACTGCTCGTTGAGGGGTTAATACGCCAAAACATTAGCGCGACAATGCTATAGACACACTGGACTGGTTTATTTATTATTACCATGGTTGCTCCAGTAATATTGTCGGCTATTTGGTTGTTATATATGCTTACTGCACAGTACATAAACATTCTTCGAACAAAGAAACATCACGTTAAACTATACACAGTAATTAAGAGTTTACTCTGCATACCTTTTGAACAGAAAAAAAATAACTTTGGCGCACATATACTGTAGAAAATATTCTAGATAAAACGAATTTACATAAACGCAATTACATTTGTTTCAGCATTGAAAATTTTGTTGTAGTGTTTATTGTTCTTATATTTACTATGTTTATCTCGCCTCTTATAATAAATTTAATATAGATTAAAATTTGTAACTTTTTGACAGTCTCTAAATATCGAAGAGTCAATGACTGCGAGTATGCTGTCTTGAGATTATGACATGTTACAAATGTAATCGTCGCTTGCGATTATGACCGAGATGACAATGCTTTACGAATACAGTTATGTATGCCTAATGCTAAATCTCATTAAGTACAGTAAGAAAGATAAGTCAATTTGTGTAAACATGTATTAAAGTTTTTTACAACAATACCTATGCTATTTAAGACAAAGGGCGTGGGTAACTTTTGTTATGACCATCTTAATGTGCCGTCACGCGTTTGAGAAAGATGTAAAATTTAATGTAGACAAGCTGTCAAATTAGCGCTTTTTTGTGCGATTAATTTAATGACACATTAATATAGTAATTAGAAACACGTAACAAATGCTGTTTTGCATAATCTCAGATTACTCATTTGTTCGAACCGAAATTACATACTATTAGATTAATAATATAATTAATTAACTGAGAAAGCAAATTCATTGTGTATAGTCAATTTTAAGCTTTTTCTGAATCGCAGATAGAATTTTATAAGAAAACGTTACTGCATTATACTGTAATTAAGCGCTTGATAAGTACTTTTCAAAGTAATGTTACGCTTTATTGTCTTTACGTTGTTGCATATATATAGTTTAAAATCGCAACATATCTATTAGACGGAGTTAATTTTTTGAAAATTATTTCAGGCAATCATTATTCTATTACTCACCGCACGCTATTGTTACATTTAAGTTAGCTTATTAATCAAATTATTAGAAGCTTACAATGTAAAGTCACCAGTAATAACATTGTGTTCTCGTATTCTATTAGAAAATGCGTGTTAAATACGTACTCAAAGACCTGTCAAGTTAGGCGGAATGTTACGATTAGTGGGCATATAGTTTTCTTGTAATTTTCTAATTAACCGTATAACCAAGACGCTCGAATATCTATCAGTATTGATTGCGTTTCACTTGGTAGATTTGGATATTATTTATCTGTTCCGCTCACCATTCCATTCAGACTTCACCAAACTTGGTTTATGTAACAAAACTTGCTTACGTTATTTGATTGGGCCTTGTTGCCGAACGATATTAATATATAAGATAAGATAATCGTTTCAATGTGGGGTAAATGAGTAAACTCAAAAAAATGAAAACTTTTATGATCATGATTGTTCTGGTGACGATTGTAAGTTATATCAAAAGTTTATATTTTTCGATTTATTTACCAAACATTAATATATTTTACATTTTAGTTAGATGCAGTTCTAGTGAATGCACAGATATCGAATGGAACTATTAAGCTTGAAGCAGGAAATAGTTGGTATTTATGTTCAACAGAGCCAACTAGTATATTAAGTATGTATAGAGATATTTCTACAATTTAAAATAATGAACATTTGTTCAATCATTAATCTACCATTTCAAATTAGATTACTCGGTTACAACCCAAAACATAGAATCTCTCACTCCAACAGTGGGTTTTGGATTTGTCCTAACCCAAAATTTTGTTACTCCTCCAACTAATTGTACGAATGGTATTATAACTAATATTCTATCGGCGGCGGTAATTCTTGAGAGTCTTGGGAATAGCGCAAACTTTGCTTCTCAAAAGCAGTTGTCATGTACTGATCAATGTGTTGAGTATTGCGATGGAAACACTACAAGTCTTCAAAGTAATAATTGGTGTGTTCTAGTAACAAATCCTATAACAGTCCCCACACTCTTCTATACTACAATAACTTTCAAAGACCCACCTCCACCTCCACCTTCACCATCTTCACCACCATCAAATGAGGGGGATGGAAAGATTATATGGAATAGAGAGCTTGTTTTTTGTACTGTATTAATATGGATTGTTGGACATTTTCTCGAGATTAGTTAGAGTATACAAAGTAATAAGAATTTAAAAGCTAATTATTAGACGTTTGAAATCCAATTCATAATTTAATGTTTATAGAGGGAATAAAGAAAGCGGTTAGCAGCTATTTTCATCGGAACAATCAAGTGTACGGAAATTGTTCTCCGATTGTATGAAGTTGTATGCAGGGGAAGTTGTACAAGTTGTACATCTTGGCTATCTTTTATTAGAAATCCGGCATACTACTGCAGTGCAGTTTGTCGTACGAATTGGAAACTACAACTACCTGACCATCGCAGTGTCAATTGTTATTGACCATTAACGGTAAGAATATCAAACACCTTTAATGTCTTTCCCTTGGCGTTAGTTCACAGTTAATTATAGCAGCATTTGTGTAATAGCTTCACATATAAGAGAACCACAAAAGCGATCGTGCGCAGGATGGTATCTTGTCGATAAAGTGATACCCATCATAATGCGGAATTCAGCTTGGAAAACTTTGTTCGTATTGCTTTTGTATACCCTGGTATGGAAAAAAAAATTACTAAAAATTGATAGATTTCGTCTTAATAGATACTTATAAGTGAATGCTATCATAACCTATTAGATAAATGTGATAAAATGTGATAATTATATAGGGAGTATTATTCTCCTTCCACTCTCGTCATGGTTTCAGTGTTCTACGTCAGCAACAAGCTCTATAAGTAAGCTATGTGATATTTTATGTAAAACCTCTGGCTTGAATTCATTATTCACCACACACACACAATTTTTAGGATATCTCGTTACAGTCTCCACACAACAATTGCAAGGGACTCCAAATTTTGGCTATTTCATCAATAACCATAAGTTTTATGATACATCCGAACCATGTACAGAGGGTATACTCGCTAATGCAATGCCAGCAGTTAATCTCTTGGAAGACATGAGCTTAAATACGACGTTCTATTCCTGGAATGCGGTTTCATGTTACCAAGACTGCGTGACAACCTGTCCGAAAACTGATAATGATGGATTGAACTATACAACATGGTGTTTGTTAGTAAGCAATATTAAAAACACAGTTGACTATGTTAACATCACTCTGTCGTTTGATTCTCCATCTGCCAGCACAAGCTTGCCAGGAACTGTACCAGTATACAACTCTGGGAGTAAGGAAACTGTGTTGAGTGTTTGGTTTCTTACTGCTTTTGGTTTAACGGGAATTCTTGGTGGATTGGGATTATTTATACTGTGAAGTGAATAAATATGCGAAATAGATGTTGGAATTAGTTTTACAATAAATTGTACTATAATTATATTTCCTTAATTTGTACCCCAAGAAAAAGTGTTATTAATTAGAAATTAATTTTACAATAATATTACTAATATCGAACGAGTATCACATAGCACGAAGCGAAGCTATCTATTTATGTATCAGTAAAACGCCACACCGGGGGTTAATATATATACTGAAAAATCAGAAGTTTTTTTATCCATGAACAAAATCTGACTTGATATGGAATCACTAACTAGTAATAGGCGGCTTAATGAGCCGACTAATATTAACGTACTTAAGAAAACAACCGCTCTACTCTTTAATCTGTGTATAATTACTTATCTGAGTTGGATGTGTGTACGATTAAGTTACGATGAAAGAACACTCATTTACTCAACAAGTAATATCGATGGAATATCTTCACCTGGTACATATTATTGGTAGAATAAGTGCAAATGTTATAAGCACTTTTAGCAACTAATATCTCATAATAGATATTATATATAAGTAAAGCTAACAGCAATATTCATTATAGATATTATTTTTGCTTCTACTTACAACTTTACTGCTACATGTTCGCTAACACAATACGGTATGTGATAAATTTTCGCTAGAAGTTAAAAGAAAAAAGCTTTTGTTGATTACTTGATTAATATAAACATCGGATCTTTCTCTAGACGGACAACTTTCAAAGTCCGAATGTCAACCTTATCTAAATTCAACCACTTTTGATCGCACTACTCAAACGTACATAATAAAATTTGTTGCAAAAGACTTCAAATTTATCGATCCTGTTAGTCATTCCCTCAACAGAAGTGTTGTACGCAAAGTTGATTTTGAGTTTGCTATAAATGATGCATTTTATCCCGTTGGCGGAGATGCTCAGATGTGGGCAACCTTATTTGATGAAGGCAAGCGAGTTTGTCAAAAATTTAATCACAAAAATATGACCTTACATAATAATAAAAATGAGACTTTACGAAACAGAATTAGAAACTGCTTCGCAGAATAGCCTGATACAATCGGGTTCGCATGTAAGCAATTTCAGCTCTATGGTCTATTCTAATCTTTACACGATTGGTAAAAATCAGGTAATATCGAAAGCATTTGTTTATAGTGAACGTCTTAACACCTTTATTCAACCAGTTCTTAATTTGTAGCACAACGTTTTTAAAATTGAGCGTACTACTCGTAAGTTTATTGTTCCCAGCGCGCAAAATTTAATTATTGGAAGACCTCATTTTATAACCTTACCAATACTAAATAGCATGTACGGTACGTATCTTTAGAATTACTGACAACGCCACCGTTGCCTTTAAACGCAGTCTCACTAACATATTTACAGCCTCATTTCCTCTTGTTAATGTCAACAACAATATCTATGCACGTGCGTCGATGGAACCTTATTCTTATATGATTACAACTGAAATAGAGAAGTCGTAAGTATAGAAGTACTGTCCGTTCATAAATGAGAACAATGCTTGACGTGCGTGATCAAATTTTTCCTTTGTTTAGAAGTATGACATTACTCGATGTAATAACTGGCTTAGGAGGCCTATATTCTTTAATTGTAGCCTTCTACGGACTGTTATACGGTATGTAAATCTAAGCATTATTTCTCATTGTATATAAATTATGTTGTAATACGTATTAAGTAATAATTTTGTCTTTATTCGAAAGGTTCTAAAGCCATAGTGCCTTGGGGTTATGTTCAACGAATAAATTTAAATTTTGTAGGTTGTAATGTCCGTAAACTAGTTCGCGAAAAGTTGGACCCAATCGTTGTATGGGTCGAACGTCACAAAGACGATCCAGATGAAAACGTAAAAAAGACCGGTTTAACTGAGAATGCTGTAGATGTACTTTCAAACAAGATTAATGAGATTGAAAGAAGGCAAGAAGCTTTGGAACTTTTTTTGCAGAATTATGTTGTGGATATGACTTTTTGTGATAAGCGCGTATTCACTCGTGATACTAATGATTAAGAAAATTAACAGTTTGAATACGTTTGATATCTAAGAGAACCAATCATTTAATCACGTTGAGATATGTAATTTTGTAATTTAGTTATATTATAGAATAGAGCAAAAACACTTAATAGACATACAAACAAAAGTAGCGCAAATGTTATTTAAATATTTAATACGTAAAATTTTTATTATGAATGATTTTTCAAAAAAAAAAAATATATATATAGAATACTTAAGCAAACCAATACAATCAATGTCGTAGATAAATTTCGACTTATTCTTCTATCAAATTACTCTAGAATAGAATTTATACGTTTCTAAACATGTTGAAGAACTAACGTATGCGTTTAACAAGTTAAATGACAATAATTTAAGCACACTGTTCTTACGGGGTCAATAAAGAACAATATTCTTTATCTTAACGATTCTTAAATATATTGTGGGTAGCGGATGCGTTAAACTAGCTTGTGAGTTTTCGTTTGTGGGAGTAATGTAGTCTGACTATAAATGCAGTATAGTACAACTGTTGTTAACAATATACGCAAATATAACACAGTTGAAATTAAAATTTATTTTAAAGACAAAATGGGTAGTAATTCTGTTGCAATAGTAAAATATATTAGTTTGAGAGAAACAGAACAATGAATAAATTCTAGACATTGTCGCGTGGACAACAAAATTTAAAAATATAAAATTTCCCAATAGTTCCAGCTTTTTACACCAATTGACAGCGTGCTAAATAAAATAAGCTGTAAAGAGTTATTAAATAAATTGAGTTTTTTTTTCACTCATACTGCAGTAAGTACGTGTGAATTGGGTTTATTTGTACACACGTTGATACACAAAACTTGTTAATCTCTGATGTACGCACATTGTCGTTTCTAGTACAAAGCAAATTTGACCTTAGATTAACGACGTTTACTATAATACACAAATTTTGCTAACGAATAATATACTTGTTTGCTAAAGTATTTTTATAACCTGACGTGTTTGACTTGTTAGAAACGCCGACAGGCAGTTTTATATATAATAAGATTGTGACAACATACTCGATGTTGATTATCTAACTAAAGAACGTTAAAAAAATAACTAAAACTATATATCAAAATTTGTCACAGTAAACAAGGTTTACCATTAATTAATTAGATTAATAGTGTTGAATTGTAAGCCAAAAATTTGTGCAAATTCATACATAAATTCGGCTTAGTACAAAAATTTAATAAAATGAAATTAGGCAAGTTTTGTTGACTGTGCGTCGACCAGGCATAGTGCAATAAAACAGCTTTAATATTTTATTTGAGTTTTTAGTTTTATTTTACATTGTGTTCAAGAGCGTATTTTTTTTTTTAATTAAAATTATTTGATGTGTTGTGGTGATAGTTTAAGCTGTAGTTGGTGCAATTTGTCTAAATAATTGTTCTGTCAATAATTGAAGACGTTGGTATTCTTAATTATACTTATGTCTGTAATTATGTAAGCCAATTATTTGAAATTTATGACAAAAACAATGGGGGCTTATTGCAACGTATGCCTGACTAGCAGAGAATATATATGTTATTGTCCAGTATTATGGTTACGTTCGGTAGCATAACCCTTGTGTTCTGTGTATTGTAAGTACGAGTAAATTTTGCAGGAGAAATCGCGTACGTGATGCTTTTTGACCTGCTGTATAAAAGTAAGACGTTTGACGGGATATCCAGTGATGGACTATCTCATTTTGTGTACAAACGCTACCTTGATTGAAAGAGTGTTTCTGTCAAATTAGTAATAGTCTCAACTGTGCCGTTGCAAACACTGAAATAATCGAGAACAGATATCTCACCAAGAAACGAAGAAATTTACCCAAAAAACTAAAATCTCTTTTTTCGATCAGTAAACTGTTTAAGTAAATGACTCTTGCTTCTTGTTGTATGCGTGTCGAGAGTGGCAAGTTTGTTTGAGCTTGAAATCAGATTGTGTTATTTGAAATTGATTGTTGTATACTGCTGATATAGTCTATGGCTTTGTAAATCACGTAGTTATTAATGGATGCAATTAATTTAATTTACACTGTAACATTGAAAGTACAGAAAGTTTATTTCGAAGACACTGCATGTATGACTGCCGTACGGAGAACAGCATAAGCACACGTTGATTGAAAATAAATTTATTCTTACAGAGAACTACACACCCTAAGCCAATGCCAAATATTAGGAAGATTATGCTAAATATTCACCAATTTACTCGGTGGATGTAATTGAAAAGTTTACAAGCGTACGTATAGTATAGTATTCATTAGTTTAAAAGTTATTCGTAAATCGATATAGAATTAACGCAAACTTGCTTGATAACTCATCAAGCGATAGACGACGAATGCACAATAACATTGCCGTCCTATCATTCCGTTTATTGCTAAATCTATAGTAACAGTCGATCTGTTATTTTTCACACAATTCTCCGTATTTTAGTCCAAATATTTGGATGACAAGTTGACTGGCAGATGTGTGGTCGCGCCACCTTAAACTTGAACTCAGGTGGTTAGCTCTTGATGACGATGAATTGAGTGAACTTTGCATCCTCACAAATGGAACAATATTAGCTTGGTTTTTTCTACAATATGTCGATCGGTGTTTACTTATTGTATTTGCCTCATTAGAATGACTCTTCGCTAACGTAACTCAAAGCATTTCTTTGTAATGATTATGTCTGATCAGGCGATGTCTACTCACAATTATACTTAACTAATGTATTCTGTAACTCAAGCGATCTGTCAAAATAATAAGCCGCTTCGACTCAAAGCTTGGTCAATTTAACCAAGATTGGACACTAATTGTTCAACAGCTCGATGTGTTTGTCGCAAAGCTGCTGTCATTTGCAACTTAAACGGTCACTTTTACAATCGTCAATGCAACAATGGGCAACGTCAATTAGGTACATCAATTCCGTGTATCATAATGTGTTATATGCAGTAGCGTTAATGTCAATAACCGTTACCTGATTTGTCTTCGTGATTCCCAATCTGACATACATGTTCATTTAGAATGGGCATAAATTCATAACTGACAACAATTCCATGTACTTGTAATGCGAACTATGTGGACGTAAAACATTGTAAAGGATGACAGAACAAAAAGATTTAGTACGTCGGCGTTTAACAATAGATTTATTGATTATTAACCACACATGTAATTGATGACTGTCACTATGTGGCAGGCGGTGAACGCATTTAAGAATATCAGAAGAAGTTAGTCTGACATATGAATAACACAGAGTTAAATAACGGCAATAGATTTATTGATTATTAATCCATACAAGTTTTGGCCGTTGTAATTGTTGACTGTCTCTATTACTATTGTGGCTGGCTTTTAAGAATCAAGTTATAGATTTACTGATTACTAATCCGTGAAGTTTAAGCGTAATTGTCGACTGTCACTATTGTGAACTCATTTAAGATAATCAGAAAGTCGATCTAACTTACGTACGACAACAAATTCGTTGATTATTAATCCATACAAGTTCTAGTCGTGATTGTCGACTGTCACTATGTGAACACATTTAAGAGGATCAGAAAGTCTATCTGACATACGTACGACAACAGATGCATTGATTATTAATCCGTACAAGTTTAGTCGGAATGACTGTCGCTATTGTGAACACATCCAGAAAGTCGATCTAACATACAATCATTGTCAAGTATAGGGTTTGGCACATGTAATTGACTTATCCGTTTGTGGCAAGCATGAAACAATATGCTTATTGATGCCTTGATCGGAGCGTTTCAACGCAGCCCGGTCTTAACAGGGAGAATAGGATAGCATCGAAAGCATAGTCTATTGTGTAGCATATAAGATCGGGGCTTTAGGATACTAACCAAATAAAGTATATGATTGATGATTTGGAAATGCCACATGACTCGGTAAGTCGAAAATAGTAATAATAGTGTTAAAAATAAGCAGCATGTTAATACGAATATTACTTTGTTTGGTAATGTCAACAACTGAACGATACACCACATTTACGTACCATAAAAGTTATTTGATAACTAGGTCGGGGAATTTTTTTGGGGGGCTTCGCCCCCCCTGCAATTAAATATTCATTGGATAATTTTAGTTTCTAAAAAGGAAATATATGAGCAATTTGTGGTAAGAATATGGTGAAAGTTGTCGTTCAGGATATCAGTGAAATTAGTTAAATCGCTCAAATTTGTATTATAATTAGTAAAAATGCTTCCACTTTCGATTTTGTTTTCAGCTTGGAATTTTGTTAGGAA